ACTAATGTACAAGAATATAATGCTGGTGCTCATGTTGTATCATATCGTCTTTCTGCTTTCATTGCTTAAGTGCTGTTATATTTGGGCCTTAGCACTGTACTAACCCTACAGCAGTGGTTCTCAGCCTTCTTGATGCCATGACCCTTCAATATAGTTCCTCATGTTGTGGTGACCCCCAACCATGAAATTATTTTTGTTGCTACTTCATAACTATAATTTTGCTACTGTTATGAATCATAATATAAATATCTGATATGCAGGATGTATTTTCATTGTTACAAAGGGGTCGGCGACCCACAGGTTGAGAACTCTAGAGTAAGGGTACACTTTAAAAATCAAATAAGGAGGAGAAAGCATAAAAGCACCAAAAACTGCATCCGAGTCTCCCAATTGGGAAGTAAAGGTTCTTTCAGAATTTTCTATTCTGTGAGCTCTAAGGTTAAACTATTTTGTTCATGTTGAACTGAAACCGCACAGTTTCATGTTGCGGTTATGAAAGATGACTCTCAGGAAAAGGGAGAGATGGCCACGTGTGTTGCCACTGAGACCTTCCAGGGAAGCATTTAGAAGAAAGGCCATTAGGCTCCTCATGCTGAGAGTCTGTCTACTGCTATCTTAGAGCATGAGACCAGGAGGGCACCACTTGTCACTTCCAGGAGAGACACATAAAAACTGCCCCTGCCACCTAGTACACACCATCGGGTGTTCTTCCAAAGACCCTTTAGGTATGGAAAGTTTCCAAGTCACTCTCTCATCCAAGACATTCGTCAGGGTTGCTGTCCGTGTAGCCTTTCCAAGTTGGGCCCTGCTGCCAACATCCCACAACCGCAGTGATGCCTTCTTCCTCCAAGTCACCCTGTGATGGAGCTCTCGTCCCTGTCCAGGCTATCTTACCAGCCTCTGCCCAACACTCTGTGTGTGTCACACAGACCCAGGTATCTCTGTCCCTCACACACACCTCAACTCTCCTGCTGCCTTATTTGCTCAAGTCACTTCTTCCACCTGGAAGGCACTGCCCCTTTCCTGTCTGCCAATCACAATTCTCCATCAAAAGCCAGCTCAAAACACCGACTCTGCCCAAAGTGCTGCTTCATATGCTTCCTCCCTCCTTTGAAGTAGGTTGTGAGGTGCCTAATGTAAACAGATGCTCAATAAATGTGGCCAAGTATATACACAGATAAATCTCAAGGGGCCGCAGCACAGTCTTGTGAGGCGGGAAGGGCAGCAGGGTCTCCTGGGCAGGCCTCCCCAGTGCCGGTGAGTGAATCACTAGGCTCTAGGCAGGAGCACCAGCTCTGTGCACTTTGCTCATTGCCACCTGTTTCTCTCCAATCTCTCACCTGGGGCTTATTGCTCTCATTGCACCTGAATGTATATAAACCACACCAGTATATGGGTTGACAGTTTTTTCTCTTTTGAGTCATAAAGTTTAAAGAAATGAAACTACAAACTGGTTTTCCTAGAAGACCTTGCCATTCTACAAGTTTGTGTGCTTTTGAACTAGTTAAGGAAAACAAATCCCGAAAGAGGAGTCAGGACCCCCAAAGGGGGACAAATGTCTGTCCAATGAGAAGAGATTGCCGGTGCATCGTGACTCCTGGGCACACCCAGAGTGGCAGTCTCACTGAACACTGGGCACACCCAGAGTGACAGTCTCAGTGAGCACAGAGCACACCCAGAGTGGCAGTCTCAGTGAGCCCTGGGCACACCCAGAGTGGCAGTCTCACTGAACACTGGGCACACCCAGAGTGACAGTCTCAGTGAAGACTGGGCACACCCAGAGTGGCAGTCTCAGTGAGCACAGAGCACACCCAGAGTGGCAGTCTCAGTGAGCCCTGGGCACACCCCGAGTGCCCACCGTGACCATATGGACTCCTGTGACTTGTCACTGGAGCCCCAGAGAACTGCTCAACCTTGAGTCTGCATTTCCTGAGCCACTGTCACTGCACCTCACCCAGGGAAGAGGGGTCAGAGGGCTGCTGGTAGCCAAGGGCACTGCTGGGGCTTTAAAATAACAGCACTGGGCTGTAAGCAAATGCCAGCCTGGGACTTTCAGCCAGCTGTTCATCTCAGTTATCCATGTTTTATTCATAAACATGAGAACCAACCTCTTCTCTGGCTGTTGACTTTCTCCTTCCAAGTCAGGCCAACATTCTACCATCCCACTTTTTCTGACATTTCACATGAAGGGCCCCTGGCGTAGTTAAAGCTTCTTCTCCCCAGAGATGGCAACACCAATGTCAGACTGGGTCAGCCCAATTACTGTTGCTCTCAGAGCCAGTGTGAGCATTTGTAGTTTAAGAGCAAAATATTAAGTTCTTGGAACCCCATTACAACTGTGAGTCTACAGAGATGTGGGACAAACGAGGCAGAAATGGGCCTCAGTACCAGACAGACTTGTTGTTATTCAGTTACTCATTTGACTTCAGCCTTGAAGCAGATTAAGATTATTCATTTTAGTAAGCAATAAAATTATTCATTTTAGTTTTTAAATGTCAAAAATTCCACAGGACATTCTTAGCCATAGCAAATCTATCAAACTTAATCACAGGGGACCCCAACCACAAGTCGAGCTCACCCACCTGGATCCACTTGTGGATATTCTTTCCACAAGTCACAATTCTCCTTCCTTACCCCTAATTGCGCAGACAGAAATGCAAACCATTCAGTGACAGTGTTCACAGATCTCTGCCCAGGGCTCCATCAGTGACAGTGTTCACAGATCTCTGCCGAGAGCTCCATCAGTGACCATGTTCACAGATCTCTGCC